CTGATAATCATTCTAAATAAAAATAGTTTTCCTTAGATAATGTTCTTAATCATTGCAAAATCTAAGATTTTATTTCTACAAGATAAGTCCTTTAAACTAACTTTATTTTTCATATGAAAATATCAATAATAAGTATACTATGAAAAATTACAATAGTTACTATTAAGAAGAAATAATTAATTCAAATTACTGTATCTTATGTAATTTAATAGAAAATAAAAAATTAAATTTACAAAATATCTGAGTTTTTAGAAAGATCAAATTTCAGAATTCCTCCAATTAAAATCTTCTTTCATTAGCTTATCACCATTTTTCAAGTATATGAATATATATATTATAAATTGATAATGTTTATAAATAAGAAAAATAAGTTATTAATATAATAAATATAATAATAAAATGAATATTTTACAATAAAAATAAAATTAAGAGATTTAAGAGACAATATGTAAGATTCATAATTTAGAATTGATTGCAGTTGATTTGGATATGAATGATAAATAATAAATAAATTTTTTTTGTGGTAAATGTTTAGTTGATAAATTAAATAATAATAAAGTAACAACTATTGAATAATCAAAAGAAAGAATATAATAAATTAAGATTTAATAATAAGAAATAAAGACTAAAGAGAATTAAACAAGACTGAATTATTATAAAAATATTTTAGATTAAATAATGGATTTTAAAAGATCAATAGATGATTCTTTAGAAAAGATGTATAAATAAATTTAATAATATATGTTTCCAATTTAAAAGGAGAAATAAGAATTATAAGAAAATTAATATCAATTGAATTATTTTGAAGATATTAAATAATTATCAGAATTATATTCATAAGATTAATAGAAATCAATTAAATTAATAGAAGATAATACTTTTATAGATTAATTAACAAGATAATTTGAATTATTATTTAATAATGCTGAATATTTTTAGACTTTAGATATATTTAAAAATACAAAATAAATAATATAAGATATAATAGAAAATAATATAATTGAATTACAACCATTATAATAAACAAAAAATGAATATGTAAATAATTATTATTTATATTAGAAAACACCAAGTTTAAATAGAATTTGTATAAATCATAAAAAAGAAATTATTATGATTGATATAGATACTTAAAATAAGGAAATAGAAGATAGATTTGTTTGTGTTGATTGTATATCTTAAAATCCATAAATTAAATATGAAACAATTGAAAATGTTAATAAATTATGGATAGATTATAATTCAGAATCTTAAAATATATTATAATAATATAAAAAAGAAATTAAAAATAAAAGATATGATTTATTTAATTAAATTACTTAAATGAGAAAAAATTATAATTAAAAATTAAATGAAATTAGTGATAAATTAATATTATAATAATAATAATAATAATAATAATAATAATAATAATATATAACTAAAGAATCAAATTAAATAAAAAAGATATCAATATAATCTTTAGATAATGAATAATTATTAAAAGATTTAAAATAAATAATTTAAAAAGAAAAAGTGATATAAAATTAAACAATAATAAGTTTAAAAAATAAAGATTTAATATTTTAGAAAGAGATAGAAAATCATTTAGAATCATTAAAATAATATGATTAATTAGATATTTAATAATCAATAGATATATTTAAAGAAATACCAAGTATTTATTTATTTATATATATATTTTATTAGTTGAAAGAAATTATATTATATAATTATCTGAACTTATATAATCATTTTCTAATTAAACATAAACAAATGATGAAAATTATTAAGATTAAATTCAATTTATAAAAGATATTTAAGAATTAATAGATTAAGCTAAAAAATATTAATGTTAAATTAATTTATTTGATTAAACTATTACTTTATTTTAATAACATATTAATAAGATTCAATAAATTTAATAATAAATATTAAATTAAACTAAAAATTAAGATAATAAATCATAATTAATATAAATTTAATATTAAAATTTATTAAAAGTATTAAATGATTATATTAATATTTTTGATAATAAAAATAAATAAATAAATAAATATTTTAATATTTCAAAATTGGAATAGGATTTAATAAAATTAAAAGAAATTAATTAAAATTTAGAAATTGAAAGTAATATTATAATTAAAATAATAGAAACCAATTAATATAATTAAATGTCTTAATAATTAGATCAAAAACATTAAGAATATTAAAAATTATTAAAGGAATAATAAGATTAAAGTATTTTATTTATTTATATTATTAATAGATTAAAAGTAAATTCAATAAATTAATAATAAATTATAATCAAAAGAAAAAGAATATTTAAATTTAATAGAAAAATTTGATTAAAATACTTAAGAAATAATTAATCTAAAAAAATTAAATGAAGAAGATAAATTAAAAACTATTAAGACATTAGAAGATTAAAGTATTAATTAATTAATATATATATAGAAAATAAAGAAATTGTAGAAATCAATAAAAAAATCAATTAAAAAGAATCAGAATTATAAACTATTTAAAGATAACTTGATATGATTAATTAAGAAAAATTATAAAAAGAAAAATAATTCAAATTAGAATTAGAAAAAGTATATTATAATTTTAATTATTTATCATAGATTTAACAATATCCTAAAACTTTATAATTTTCTAATACTCATAAGGGGGCTAATTGTTAAATAAGTGAAGGTGGTAAAGTTGTTGAATGTAGTGGTGGTAGTTGGTATTATTGTCTTTGTGAATAAGCAATTCCAAAGACTGGGAAAATAGTATTTGCATTCTAAATGATAAGTGGATAATACTTTATGGTTGGAATTGGATTCAGAGATATTATATAAAAAAATAATTATTAAAATTGTGGAGTTGGGTATGGGTATATAATTAAATCATAATAGATCATATTTGATACGTGAAAATGGTTATACTTACTCTCATCATAATAAAGATGTAAGTGGTAAATAATTATCATTCACTTATACAACTAATGATGTAATAATAATGGAAGTAAGTATTGAACATAAGTATATTAAATGGACCAGATAGAATAATCAATTATTAACAGTTGTAATTATCAAAACTATTATTAGTAGTTAGAAATAGATACATCCATATCATAAGAATTATATCCATGTGTGTATATTCTTTCATCTAAAGTTAAAATATTAGATAATATTCCAAATTGATAATGGACAATTAAAATGAAATATCATAAATAAGTTAAATCAACATATAATTATATTTTTCTAAAATTATAACTATAAAAAATTAGAATATACATGAAATTTACAGAAATTCAAAAAAGTGATTGAAAGTAGATTTTTTTGAGTTTATTATCCAAAAATTTGTTTATCTCACAAAACTCATTATCAAAATAATTTATATGTTATATTTATATATGATTTGAAGGAAACAAAATATAAATAGAATGAATGAATGATTAAGGATAATGTAATAAGAAGATTGCTGCACTTAGAATGATTTACAATGATAAAAAATCAAGAATTAAACAATTAAGGTGAAGGATTATTTATTCCTAATTTTCGTTAAATTTTCCGATTTTAATCATCTAATAATATTGTATTTATTTATAATATGATAAATTATTAAAATTAATCAAATATTATTTAAAGTAGAGTTGAAATAACGGAAATTTTTAAAAAAGGCGTTTTTTCTTTAAATTATTTGCAATCAATAAACAGATAAAAATATAGAATAAGAATAAGGTCAAAAAAATGTAAAAAGTATTTAGATCAAAATTATTAGGGTTAGAAATAAGAAAATTTAGCAGGAAACTTAAATTAATAACTTATCAAAGATATTGATTTATGTATTCTAATTTAATTTCTTTTAATAAAGGCAATTAATTCTTTTTATAGGAGTAAAATTTCAAGTAGAAGTTTCGGTTGCTTTAAGATTGTGGATCGAAATATATTCATGAATGGGAGTTTGTAATCCTATTTTTCTCTTTTGGTTGAATCAATATAAGAAAATGGGCTTCTTCAATGTGAACTCTTTCAATAATTTTGAAACATTTTTCATCTAATCAAGAATTTAGTAGTATAGAACTTAAAGTCCAGATTCTTATGATTTAATCTTTGTTGGCATGAAAAGAATATTAGTAAACTTATCCATAATGGGGATGAGAAAACTAAGTAGTACACATCTTATTTGAGATCATGACATAAATATTAGAAAACTTTTTTAGCTAAATTTAGGATTTATAGGGGTATTTATGAAGAACCAAAAAATATTTAAAAATTTTGATTTTAAACAAATTAACTGTTTAATATAAGTTTATTATAATTTTTTAAGAATATGTCATATAAATTATACATTAATCAATCNGTTGTAATTATCAAAACTATTATTAGTAGTTAGAAATAGATACATCCATATCATAAGAATTATATCCATGTGTGTATATTCTTTCATCTAAAGTTAAAATATTAGATAATATTCCAAATTGATAATGGACAATTAAAATGAAATATCATAAATAAGTTAAATCAACATATAATTATATTTTTCTAAAATTATAACTATAAAAAATTAGAATATACATGAAATTTACAGAAATTCAAAAAAGTGATTGAAAGTAGATTTTTTTGAGTTTATTATCCAAAAATTTGTTTATCTCACAAAACTCATTATCAAAATAATTTATATGTTATATTTATATATGATTTGAAGGAAACAAAATATAAATAGAATGAATGAATGATTAAGGATAATGTAATAAGAAGATTGCTGCACTTAGAATGATTTACAATGATAAAAAATCAAGAATTAAACAATTAAGGTGAAGGATTATTTATTCCTAATTTTCGTTAAATTTTCCGATTTTAATCATCTAATAATATTGTATTTATTTATAATATGATAAATTATTAAAATTAATCAAATATTATTTAAAGTAGAGTTGAAATAACGGAAATTTTTAAAAAAGGCGTTTTTTCTTTAAATTATTTGCAATCAATAAACAGATAAAAATATAGAATAAGAATAAGGTCAAAAAAATGTAAAAAGTATTTAGATCAAAATTATTAGGGTTAGAAATAAGAAAATTTAGCAGGAAACTTAAATTAATAACTTATCAAAGATATTGATTTATGTATTCTAATTTAATTTCTTTTAATAAAGGCAATTAATTCTTTTTATAGGAGTAAAATTTCAAGTAGAAGTTTCGGTTGCTTTAAGATTGTGGATCGAAATATATTCATGAATGGGAGTTTGTAATCCTATTTTTCTCTTTTGGTTGAATCAATATAAGAAAATGGGCTTCTTCAATGTGAACTCTTTCAATAATTTTGAAACATTTTTCATCTAATCAAGAATTTAGTAGTATAGAACTTAAAGTCCAGATTCTTATGATTTAATCTTTGTTGGCATGAAAAGAATATTAGTAAACTTATCCATAATGGGGATGAGAAAACTAAGTAGTACACATCTTATTTGAGATCATGACATAAATATTAGAAAACTTTTTTAGCTAAATTTAGGATTTATAGGGGTATTTATGAAGAACCAAAAAATATTTAAAAATTTTGATTTTAAACAAATTAACTGTTTAATATAAGTTTATTATAATTTTTTAAGAATATGTCATATAAATTATACATTAATCAATCGGAAATTAACAATAATATTATGAATAACAACACTGAAGACAATATTAATTAATCATAGAGGTGATAGTTTATTTGGGAAGTGCTATATTTTAGTTTATGTCCATACTTGCGTGATACACCAAATGTCAAATCTACCCAAATCAATTATAGAGTTAAATAAGTGAAATATTTTGGCGAAGATGAGGATTAATCTTAAAGTAATTTAATTACTTGGTGGGAGAAATTTTTTTGAAACCATTTTAGAAACTTTGTAATAAAAACTATAATCAGACAAAAGCTGCTCTAAAAAAGAAGATGGGGGAAATTGGATTTAGCTTATCATTTTAGTTTGCTCATTGACTGAATGAGGTAAATGAAGGAACTGAAGAATTCCTTGACTCTATTTATATAACGTGGTATACTTCCACCCCTTTTTTGATATCTTAGAGATGGCTTTTAAGGACTTTCTAATGATGAACCTGATGATATTAGAACTTTAAAAATTGATGATATGAGAGATTAAACCTCTGTGTATGTAGTTTTTCTGGGACAATAAAATGAGAATTTGTGCAATTTTTAATCTTAAATCGATTATTTGCTTTAATAAATATAGATTATGGAGATATAATTTTAAGGGTAAAATTTATAATGAGAGAAACATGTTTATTCTTCGCTTTCAAATTTATGATGGAGTTAATCTTTTTGAAAGATTCTAGCCATTTGGATTCTTTAGTAATCAACCTGATGTTCTACTGAAAGATGATCTTCTTCATCTAAAATAACATTGTTAAACATTCCAATGAATATATATAAATTTGTAGAATTAGAATAAATAACATATAATAATAAAAATGAATGATTTCTGCTTTGAGACATAATAATAAATTTAGTTTAAGATACTTTAAAATAATTGAAAACAGAATCAAAAATATTTTTGAATGCTTTAATAATTAAAAAAAACTTGATTTGAAAGTTTGAATTGACTTCTACTTTTGAATCAAATTTAGTTTATGCAATAATAGAAGTATAGATTTAATTGTTAGAGGTAATTTTATAAAGTTTCGAAAGATAAATTAAAAAATATTTGGTCATTGATTTATTTTAAATTTCAATTAAATAAAATCTGAAATTTACAGGAATTGCTAGAAATAATTATTTTACTAATTTTTATCTAATAAACAATAAAAATTTTATTTATGTTAGAGATAGGGCTATTCTGTGTTGATTTATTTTTGCACTCTCTTTTACTTGAAAATTATTAATACTTAAAATTCAATTTAAATGTTAATTTCTTTTTGCTCAATTAAGTATGTTTAATAATAACTCTTATTTCAAAAAATAAAGGTCAAGTAAAAAATTACATGCATTATTATAAAATATATTAATTATTATTATTTAAAGGGTTTGTTTTATTTAATCAAAAAATAAATGATAGTGTGAAATTTTTCATTAAAATTAATTTATTACTAAACACTATCCCAATCATATTTATAATAATTATAATAAAAAAAAATAACAAAATAAACTAAGTGAATGTAGGGAAATAAGAACTACTTATTTGAAAAAGGGATTTCGAATAAGAGATTTTTAATTTCTCTAAGAAAGATGAGTTTAGAATATTTGTTGTTGCTGATAGAATTGAACTTTAAAAAATCATAATTATTTATATGTAGAAAAACAAATAAATTTAGAATACCTCTTTATAATTATTAATTTCTACAAGCTAATAGTAATATTCTTATAATTACTTAACTCTTTTTCATGATTCAAAATAAATTAAAGCTTAAAATTTATATAAGCTTGAGTATAATTTTATCTACAAATTATAATATTATCTAATATTTTAACTTTAGATGTATGAATATTCACACATGGATATAATTCTTATGATATGGATGTATCTATTTCTAACTACTAATAATAGTTTTGATAATTACAACTGTTGCTAATGGATTATTCTATCTGGTCCATTTAATATACTTATGTTCAATACTTACTTCCATTATTATTACATCATTAGTTGTATAAGTGAATGATAATTATTTATCATTTACATCTTTATTATGATGAGAGTAAGTCTAACCATTATTACGTATCAAATATGATCTATTATGATTTAATTATATACCCATACCCAACTCCACAATTACCAATATAATTATTTTTTTATATAATATCTCTGAATCCAATTCCAACCATAAAGCATTATCCACTTATCATTTAGAATGCAAATACTATTTTCCCAGTCTTTGGAATTGCTTATTCACAAAGACAATAATACCAACTACCACCACTACATTCAACAACTTTACCACCTTCACTTATTTAACAATTAGCATGCTTATGAGTATTAGAAAATTATAAAGTTTTAGGATATTGTTAAATCTATGATTGTTCTGTAAAAATTGCTTGAAATTACAAAGTTTTCATTCAGTTAAGCTTATTGAAATTTAAAAGAATTCAAAGATCTTTAAATAATATACCCTATATCTAAATATCTTAATCTAGTTAAATCAAATTTCAATTAATATCAAATGAAGTAATATTCATTATATATTTTTTTAATTCTAAAGGTATCAAGAATTAGCAAAAATTCAATTTGTTGTTGAAATTAAATCATATTATAATAAATTTTCATAAGGAAAAGTTTCTAAGATGATAAAATTCAATGGAAAAATTTATTTGAATATATCTAAAAAAGAAGTCCATAGAAGATTAACGGAAAAAATGAATCAGCTATTTTTGCCTTTGTGTAATTAATTGTTCTTAAGTTAAAACTAAATCTATTCTTTAAAAATAAAATTTAGATTTTGATGGCAGATTACTCTTAATGTATATTATTATTTCTAAATATTAAAGGTTTTAACAAATTTATTTTTTAGATCCCATACATATTCTAAATTTGGTACTGATCTAGATTTAGCACTCCTATTTTGAGCTTAAGTTTAGATCTAATATCTGAAACTATTGATTTACAGCCGCTTTGAGCAAATATGAAATATTCTTTACTCCTATAGTTAATTTCTAAAATTGGATTCTCATCATATACTAAATTCAAAATTTTATTACTTCAGGCTAATGAAAATACTAGTTTAAAATTTCCTCAAAGACAAATTTTTCATTAATTCAATTGCTTCTTCTTTGTTATATTTCATCCATGTAGATTCTTGCTCCCTGTCTACTTTTTGGAAAACAAAAATACTTTGCAGAGCCATTTCTTGAAAGTTTCTATATTCTTCAGGCCTAATGCGCTATTTTGAACTTCTTCATACTGCTGCCAAAATACTAAGAAACACAAGTTTTTTCATTTTACTTGAAGAAAAGAGCTTGGAGAACTTTAGCCTAATGTATGGGTTACAACAGCGGACCACTTATTATATTATATTGATATTTTTAAACCCATCTGTGAAAATTTAGAATATGCAAAATTTTTTTATAAAAAAAAACAAATGTCAAATTCTTTAGGAAATCTTTCATAATCAATAAATTAGGAACTAAAAATATAGGATAGAAAGATTTCTTTAAAAAAATAATTACCTTGAATTAGATTAACATTTTGAAGTGATTTTACTTTATCCAATAGCTTTATGATCTTATTACAGATAATTCGTTATTCGAAATTATAAAATATATAAATACAATTTTAAACTAATTTAAAGACTTGAGCTTATAAAAGGTAATAGTATATATAACTAAGTATAGTGAACTTATCAATAAATGAATATAGAGAGTTACTCAAAAAATTGAATTACATTTCTAAACTTCTTAAATAATTGTTGAAGATTATAAAAAGGATTATTATATTATTAATTTTAGCAAATTCGATTTTTGGATCGCTAATTTAATTTTGCCAATAAGAATAAAATTATATACCAATTAATAATAATATCAAATTTAGGATAAAAAAAAGAGAATTTAAAGAGATAACAATTTCATTCTATATTAGATTAAAGATATATATATGAGTAATTCTGACTTATTGAGATGACAGAAGATAATATTAAAATAAAATAATTAGCTAATTAAGAATATTTAAAAAATTATTAATTAAATAAAGTATCTAATTTTTGTTAATATTAGATTATAATCCTTAATTATTTTATTTATGGATTATGTTAAATCAGCAATCATAACGCTAGAAATTCAATAGCCTAGATTTGCTCCAATTTACTACATACTTTCAAGTTCACTATTGTTTTCAATAAATTCAATGTTTAGTAAATTGATATCAAATATTCCTTCATCTTAAATTGTATATTTTGGAGCAATTATAATGTGTTTGATAAACACTATTGTAACTAGTAACTAAAAAATATCATTGTATGGATTTACAACAGATANAGATCTAATATCTGAAACTATTGATTTACAGCCGCTTTGAGCAAATATGAAATATTCTTTACTCCTATAGTTAATTTCTAAAATTGGATTCTCATCATATACTAAATTCAAAATTTTATTACTTCAGGCTAATGAAAATACTAGTTTAAAATTTCCTCAAAGACAAATTTTTCATTAATTCAATTGCTTCTTCTTTGTTATATTTCATCCATGTAGATTCTTGCTCCCTGTCTACTTTTTGGAAAACAAAAATACTTTGCAGAGCCATTTCTTGAAAGTTTCTATATTCTTCAGGCCTAATGCGCTATTTTGAACTTCTTCATACTGCTGCCAAAATACTAAGAAACACAAGTTTTTTCATTTTACTTGAAGAAAAGAGCTTGGAGAACTTTAGCCTAATGTATGGGTTACAACAGCGGACCACTTATTATATTATATTGATATTTTTAAACCCATCTGTGAAAATTTAGAATATGCAAAATTTTTTTATAAAAAAAAACAAATGTCAAATTCTTTAGGAAATCTTTCATAATCAATAAATTAGGAACTAAAAATATAGGATAGAAAGATTTCTTTAAAAAAATAATTACCTTGAATTAGATTAACATTTTGAAGTGATTTTACTTTATCCAATAGCTTTATGATCTTATTACAGATAATTCGTTATTCGAAATTATAAAATATATAAATACAATTTTAAACTAATTTAAAGACTTGAGCTTATAAAAGGTAATAGTATATATAACTAAGTATAGTGAACTTATCAATAAATGAATATAGAGAGTTACTCAAAAAATTGAATTACATTTCTAAACTTCTTAAATAATTGTTGAAGATTATAAAAAGGATTATTATATTATTAATTTTAGCAAATTCGATTTTTGGATCGCTAATTTAATTTTGCCAATAAGAATAAAATTATATACCAATTAATAATAATATCAAATTTAGGATAAAAAAAAGAGAATTTAAAGAGATAACAATTTCATTCTATATTAGATTAAAGATATATATATGAGTAATTCTGACTTATTGAGATGACAGAAGATAATATTAAAATAAAATAATTAGCTAATTAAGAATATTTAAAAAATTATTAATTAAATAAAGTATCTAATTTTTGTTAATATTAGATTATAATCCTTAATTATTTTATTTATGGATTATGTTAAATCAGCAATCATAACGCTAGAAATTCAATAGCCTAGATTTGCTCCAATTTACTACATACTTTCAAGTTCACTATTGTTTTCAATAAATTCAATGTTTAGTAAATTGATATCAAATATTCCTTCATCTTAAATTGTATATTTTGGAGCAATTATAATGTGTTTGATAAACACTATTGTAACTAGTAACTAAAAAATATCATTGTATGGATTTACAACAGATATATACAAAAAGCTGTTTATGAGAAGTTTATTAGGATATCTAGGAACAATTTTTTTTTATTAAGGAATTAAGCAAGTTAGCATATCAGAAGGATAAGTTCTTTTTAGAACTTCTCCACTTTGGACATCACTTATGGCAATTTATTATTTAAAAACTGAAAAGCTAGAGAGAAATTTATTTGTTAATTTGATTTTGGGCTTTTTGGGAATTTTTCTTATTAGTTAGCCATCAATTCTTTTAGAAATGATGGGATATGAAAAGAAGGAAAAGCATATAGAGACATCATTGATAGGAATAATATTAATGATATCTGCTGCAATATGTTCATCAATAATATAAGTGCTAATTAATACATTAGCAAAATCAGTATACATTTTATCATAATTTAGGTAAATTAATTAGTAATTCTATAATATTTTTGTATAATAACTATTGTAGCAACATCTACTAATTTATTCATCTTTCCATCTAAATTATGGGTTATTCCAAATAATTTTGAAACAATTATGTTAATAATGATCGGAGTTACTTCATATATAACATAGTTATTGATGAATAGAGCATATATCAAGGGAAACCTTGCTGAAATATCTATGTTAGGTTAATCATAAGTTATTTTTGGATATATTATAGATTTATTAATGGGAACAAATATGACTGTATTTAGTAATTTAGGTANTACTGATCTAGATTTAGCACTCCTATTTTGAGCTTAAGTTTAGATCTAATATCTGAAACTATTGATTTACAGCCGCTTTGAGCAAATATGAAATATTCTTTACTCCTATAGTTAATTTCTAAAATTGGATTCTCATCATATACTAAATTCAAAATTTTATTACTTCAGGCTAATGAAAATACTAGTTTAAAATTTCCTCAAAGACAAATTTTTCATTAATTCAATTGCTTCTTCTTTGTTATATTTCATCCATGTAGATTCTTGCTCCCTGTCTACTTTTTGGAAAACAAAAATACTTTGCAGAGCCATTTCTTGAAAGTTTCTATATTCTTCAGGCCTAATGCGCTATTTTGAACTTCTTCATACTGCTGCCAAAATACTAAGAAACACAAGTTTTTTCATTTTACTTGAAGAAAAGAGCTTGGAGAACTTTAGCCTAATGTATGGGTTACAACAGCGGACCACTTATTATATTATATTGATATTTTTAAACCCATCTGTGAAAATTTAGAATATGCAAAATTTTTTTATAAAAAAAAACAAATGTCAAATTCTTTAGGAAATCTTTCATAATCAATAAATTAGGAACTAAAAATATAGGATAGAAAGATTTCTTTAAAAAAATAATTACCTTGAATTAGATTAACATTTTGAAGTGATTTTACTTTATCCAATAGCTTTATGATCTTATTACAGATAATTCGTTATTCGAAATTATAAAATATATAAATACAATTTTAAACTAATTTAAAGACTTGAGCTTATAAAAGGTAATAGTATATATAACTAAGTATAGTGAACTTATCAATAAATGAATATAGAGAGTTACTCAAAAAATTGAATTACATTTCTAAACTTCTTAAATAATTGTTGAAGATTATAAAAAGGATTATTATATTATTAATTTTAGCAAATTCGATTTTTGGATCGCTAATTTAATTTTGCCAATAAGAATAAAATTATATACCAATTAATAATAATATCAAATTTAGGATAAAAAAAAGAGAATTTAAAGAGATAACAATTTCATTCTATATTAGATTAAAGATATATATATGAGTAATTCTGACTTATTGAGATGACAGAAGATAATATTAAAATAAAATAATTAGCTAATTAAGAATATTTAAAAAATTATTAATTAAATAAAGTATCTAATTTTTGTTAATATTAGATTATAATCCTTAATTATTTTATTTATGGATTATGTTAAATCAGCAATCATAACGCTAGAAATTCAATAGCCTAGATTTGCTCCAATTTACTACATACTTTCAAGTTCACTATTGTTTTCAATAAATTCAATGTTTAGTAAATTGATATCAAATATTCCTTCATCTTAAATTGTATATTTTGGAGCAATTATAATGTGTTTGATAAACACTATTGTAACTAGTAACTAAAAAATATCATTGTATGGATTTACAACAGATATATACAAAAAGCTGTTTATGAGAAGTTTATTAGGATATCTAGGAACAATTTTTTTTTATTAAGGAATTAAGCAAGTTAGCATATCAGAAGGATAAGTTCTTTTTAGAACTTCTCCACTTTGGACATCACTTATGGCAATTTATTATTTAAAAACTGAAAAGCTAGAGAGAAATTTATTTGTTAATTTGATTTTGGGCTTTTTGGGAATTTTTCTTATTAGTTAGCCATCAATTCTTTTAGAAATGATGGGATATGAAAAGAAGGAAAAGCATATAGAGACATCATTGATAGGAATAATATTAATGATATCTGCTGCAATATGTTCATCAATAATATAAGTGCTAATTAATACATTAGCAAAATCAGTATACATTTTATCATAATTTAGGTAAATTAATTAGTAATTCTATAATATTTTTGTATAATAACTATTGTAGCAACATCTACTAATTTATTCATCTTTCCATCTAAATTATGGGTTATTCCAAATAATTTTGAAACAATTATGTTAATAATGATCGGAGTTACTTCATATATAACATAGTTATTGATGAATAGAGCATATATCAAGGGAAACCTTGCTGAAATATCTATGTTAGGTTAATCATAAGTTATTTTTGGATATATTATAGATTTATTAATGGGAACAAATATGACTGTATTTAGTAATTTAGGTACCTGCTTAATAGTAGCCTCATTAGTTAAAGTTGTTTAAGATAAATAAAAAGCATAAAAAGGATCTTGAAATTTAATGATATTCATGAAATAAAGAGTAGATTTATTATATTTATTGATGATAATTTTTCAAATATATAATCTTTTTGTTTAAGACTTTTAATATATTTTTCATAACAAATACTTAGAAAAATTTTTTTAAAATTAATAAAAATGAATAGGACAGTTATTAATTTGAAAGATGATTTTATTCATTAGTAAATTATAGATATAATCGAGTTTATTTTTTGGATAATGTTTAAAAAAAAAAACATAACACATAAACTAGAATATTTAATTAAGAATAATATAATAACTCTCTTGTTTTTTAAACAATTAAACTCAATTGCTTAAATTTATGATATTAGATTTTATTTGAGTAAACTAAAATAACTTTAATTTTTATTATGTTTTGTGAAAAATTTTAGATTAGCATTTCCGATTTTTGAAGTTGAATAAACTTTTTATTTAATTGATTTTCTTTAAAATTAAAGTTTTTGTCTCAATATTTGATATTCGAAATTTAATACTTTTACAAATTTGAGATAAATAACAACAATCACAAAATCAATACTTAAAATTTTTAATCTATTTAAAATATTTTAAAATGTTATTTCTTCAAATTAGAATATTTAAAAAAATCTTAAATTTTTTTATAATTATCAAAAATACAAGATAGCATTTAATTATTCTAACAACTTTATTGTGATGTAATAGTAAAATTTAGAAATGATGTAAAGAAAACCGTGAAAATTTTATTACTTTGTAAATTATTTTCTTAAAATAATCTATAACAGTAATGAGTGAATTAAATACTCTTCTTTATCATCATAAACGTACTTTATTTCTAGCTTTTTCACATTTTCCTGATTTACTATCAGACTTTTTTTTTCCAACTAATTAATGATAAGTTATTGAAAAATATGTATTGTTAATTTAATTATAGTCACATCTAAATATATTCTAACCTACTCATTTCCATAAAGATATCATTTTTTCAATTATTTAAGTTGGATATTTTTAACCTTATCATCAAATAGAAAGTATGGTTTTGGAAAATTAAATTACTTGATCTTTGATTTTATAATCAATAAGTATAAATCATTTTAACATCAAATTTTTTTTCTTTTCTATTTGTATATTCCCTCCTGAAAAAAATAAGTTAGTTTATTATTTTAATAAAGTCAAATGGAAACTCTAAAATTTAATTGAACAATTATTGATTGTTTAGATAATTTCTAATCTCTTTTTGTTTCACTTTTGTATTTAAATTTCTATCGTTGCTTCATTGATTTCTAAATTTTTACTTTTTATTCATAAAATTTTTAATGTTTCCCATTTTACCAGTAATTATTAGAAAAGTGTAATTTAAATTAATTAGAAATACCAGAAATAATAAATATACTAAGTTTAAATGTGCTAATAAATTTCATATTATAATTATATGATTATTTTAACAATAATTGAAGCAGTTGTTTCTGCAACATTTGGTGCTTTAGTTGTAGCCAGCAGTGGAGCACTTTTAACTCATCAAAAAATCTTTAATAACGAATTCACAATGACATTATCTAAAGTAGTTGAAAGAATGTTTCTTCCAGCTATGATTTTTACTAATTTCCTGAAAACAGTAACTTTAGATTCATTATTCGGACTTATTCCAACAATATTGACAACATTATTTTGTATCCTATGTGGATATTTGATAGGAGTTGTTAGTAACAAATATTGGATTAAAAAAGAAAATCTAAACTCTATCATAGTCTTATCAGCTGCTAATCCTCATACTATAAATATATAATTATAAATAGCTTATGGTTTAACAACATACTTTTCAAAGATAACAGGTCAATCTGAGAAAGAAACTGAATCTAAGCTTGTTACAATAATAATAATATAGACTGTAATAGTTAATGCTTTCAGATGGTCTATAGGAAAGAGAATAATGCAATAACATAAAGTCACTGAACAATAATCTGAAGTGGAACTCTTAACTCTTAAGATTGCATAACCACAATAACAATTATAAATTAATCAAAATAAAAAATAAGAATCCTCTTTTTGGAATCCTCCACTCATTTCAGTCATAGTCTCTTTATTATGTTTACCTATTTAAAATCAATTGATTAATGATACATTTATACATAGAGCCCTTTTCTTACCATTATAAACAATTTCAAGAGCCTGTCCCCCTTCTGTTTTAATGATATTGGGAAGTAATCTCTATTTAATATATTTTAAAAACACGTAAAAAAAAGAGAATTTAATTACTATTCTTTTAATTGTTGCTAACAGATTAATATTATTACCTATGATTGGATTATCAACAGTTTTGTTTTTAAATTGGTTTGGTATAATGACTGATATATGCGAATTATTCATTTTGTTTATTACTTTTTGTACTCCTTCAGCAATCACTATCTTAGTTATGGCAAAACAATATCAATAGCAATTAGAAGATGTAGTTTCATTAATCCTCTTTTATGGATATATATTATGCATTATAACCCTACCTGTTTGGATGACAATATATCTTGCAATTTTTTAACCAAAAAAATGATTGAATGCTTATTATTATAAAATTATATTGATATTTTTTTAAATTAAAAAATTACAAAAACATAGATATATATAAGTTTTTTAAACCCTTCTTCTGTAATCAAAATAATGAACTTTGAGAAAATATCATCAAATTTTTTTAATTAATTACTCCTATAAATATAACTCTATTGTTAGTGTTTGCATATTTATTAAAGATAAAAGAGAATAAAAGATTAAAAAAATATAATCAATTTCTTTATGGTCACATTTTTGTATTCTAAATTCTATCTTGTAATTGAATTTTATTTGGTATTCTTAATTTTAATAATTCTTAAATTGATTAAATATTGAACAACGACAATTTACAAAATCTTAAATTATCAATTAAATTATTTTATAAAATAATTTAATATTACTTAAACTATTTTTAAAATGAGTTAAATAAGTTAATATTGATAAAATATATTAATTATGATTTTCAATCTATAAATTTATTAAATTAACATTTTTATTGTAAAATTATTAAGACAACATCAATTATATGAAATTTATAAAATAATATGATTTATCAATCTATAAATATATTAAATTTACATTTTAATGAAAATTTTAGTTCAATTCATGAAATGTGTTTTTCAATTTGGAATAAACTATAAATTCAAATATTTAATTGAATTATAATAGTTCTGTTAAATTATTAGGATTAAGTAATCCCAAATACTTTAAAGTATTAATAATAGATTATTAATATTTATAAGAATTCAAATGATTATTTATTTAATGATAGCAATACATAAATAATTTATTCATAATTAAGTTAATTGATTAAAATAAAATCATCTATATTTCACAATATTTTAATTTTTATTAATAATATCTATATTATTTGCAATGGAGTGTTAAATTAAACAACATAGTTAATAACTTTTTGGGTACCTGATTATTTTATTATAATACTATAACTTGTTGTGTTTCTTTGAATTATGATTATAAAAAGTAGCAGTTACTTCAATTTATTAGCTAAAATACTGAATAAATTAGAATCTTAAACCAGTTATAAATTTTGGAGAATAAGATTCTAGTTTGTTTATCCAAAATAATTATTTATTATCGATGGATTAATAGAAGATTTAAGTTTATTTTTGATGTATGAATAAATAACCTCGTTCTTTATATAGCAAATATTTGATATGGTTTGAAATATTTTTAATAATTTACATTTAAAAATTAGAATAAAATCTTTGATTTAAAGGTTCCAATCAAGAGTTATTATTATTTAATAATAAAAAATAAATGATTAATAGATAGTTGAAATACATATAAATTAAGAATATCACATAAAGTTGAGAATTTGAAGAACATCTTTTTCGCTATTCATCAAAATATCAAAAGCTAATTTAAAATCAGCTTCAATTAACTAGGGTTTTAAATATTTAAGAATTGCAATAGCAAATTTGATAATGAAATCATGCATATTGCGATTATGTAACATTAGATCCCATATTTAATAAATTTAATCTAGATAGAATTCACGTGACATACAAGTGATAATCCATCTATAACCATACATATATGGATGAATGCCAAGATTTTATAAATAATTGAANATAATTTATAAAATAATATGATTTATCAATCTATAAATTTATTAAATAATATTTTTATGTTAAAATTATTAAGACAGCATCAATTATTTATAATTTATAAAATAATATGATTTTCAATCTATAAATTTATTAAATTAACATTTTTATTGTAAAATTATTAAGACAACATCAATTATATGAAATTTATAAAATAATATGATTTATCAATCTATAAATATATTAAATTTACATTTTAATGAAAATTTTAGTTCAATTCATGAAATGTGTTTTTCAATTTGGAATAAACTATAAATTCAAATATTTAATTGAATTATAATAGTTCTGTTAAATTATTAGGATTAAGTAATCCCAAATACTTTAAAGTATTAATAATAGATTATTAATATTTATAAGAATTCAAATGATTATTTATTTAATGATAGCAATACATAAATAATTTATTCATAATTAAGTTAATTGATTAAAATAAAATCATCTATATTTCACAATATTTTAATTTTTATTAATAATATCTATATTATTTGCAATGGAGTGTTAAATTAAACAACATAGTTAATAACTTTTTGGGTACCTGATTATTTTATTATAATACTATAACTTGTTGTGTTTCTTTGAATTATGATTATAAAAAGTAGCAGTTACTTCAATTTATTAGCTAAAATACTGAATAAATTAGAATCTTAAACCAGTTATAAATTTTGGAGAATAAGATTCTAGTTTGTTTATCCAAAATAATTATTTATTATCGATGGATTAATAGAAGATTTAAGTTTATTTTTGATGTATGAATAAATAACCTCGTTCTTTATATAGCAAATATTTGATATGGTTTGAAATATTTTTAATAATTTACATTTAAAAATTAGAATAAAATCTTTGATTTAAAGGTTCCAATCAAGAGTTATTATTATTTAATAATAAAAAATAAATGATTAATAGATAGTTGAAATACATATAAATTAAGAATATCACATAAAGTTGAGAATTTGAAGAACATCTTTTTCGCTATTCATCAAAATATCAAAAGCTAATTTAAAATCAGCTTCAATTAACTAGGGTTTTAAATATTTAAGAATTGCAATAGCAAATTTGATAATGAAATCATGCATATTGCGATTATGTAACATTAGATCCCATATTTAATAAATTTAATCTAGATAGAATTCACGTGACATACAAGTGATAATCCATCTATAACCATACATATATGGATGAATGCCAAGATTTTATAAATAATTGAATAAATTAGGCTCTTTTAATTTGAATTGAGTTTCAAAATTTAAGAGAAGACCTCTAATTCCAGTGTTAGTAAAATCAAGTGTGGAAATATATGCATCTTTAAGTTGAGCCATTATTTTAGTAAAACAAAAAAATGTATCTGCTTCATTTTTAATGATCAAATACAATGGGGCAAGCAAATCACTCATTCCTTACATATATTTAATGGCTGGGTTAAGTTTACCATATATATATAGAATTCGAATGAGTATATCTTAATGTATAGGTAAAGTGTTATTTTATAATTTTCTCCTTTTATATTAATCAGTAAAAAAGTATTAAGAGAACCTGGCATTTGTTTGATCTTTCATCATAGATTACTTCGATAATGTACGACTTAAAATTAAAATATATTAAGATACGGAACATCTTTTTCAATCATTTCATATAGTTGCTCATTTTAGATATATTCATTATAATCCATACATGAATTGATAACTTGGGTTCTAATGGTTTAGAATGAACTAAAACTGAGAGAATTCTGATCAGAGTCTATATTGTCCAAAATATTGAAAATTTCTAAGAGTTCATTATTAATGAATTCATCAAGATAGGAATAATAGAGCTGTTATTATTTTTTAAGGAATGACAATTATTGAGTTTAATCTTGAGGTAAATAATTGAGATATGTCATCCAAATAATTGCTCTAGGGGAATATTATTGCATTTAAATAAAATATTAATAAATATTTGAATATCTAATCATTCTTTTTTTGATTTCTGTTTCTTATTCTTTTTATCTAATCTTGGATCTTAATTAGATTGTTTAACCTTGGAATAAACTTAAATATTTTATAATAAATACCAATATAAAATACAAAACAGAAACTAAAAATGGCAATTGCTGCAAACAAATAGTTGATTGGATCTTTCATTCCTTATTATTTAGATAAGTAAAATTAATATTTATCTAATTAATCCTTATTATTAGATTCTGAATCTTTGGCTTAACTTTTCTTACTCATTTCAGATATCTTCTTCTTTAACTCAGCAAAAACACTTTATTATTAATTAGGTTATTGTACTGGACTACTAACTGTGTTTTTAGTAGTAACCCATTCTTCAAATCTCTAATATTAATTAAAGTTATAATTACTCTAATATATTTCATTAAAGTTTCATCATTTTTAGTGAAAGTCCAATCAAAAGAGGTATTAGTAAATTAATCAAAATTGAAATCTGGTATTTGTTATTTGAAAGATTTGTAATTCTTTTAGTCATCCTAAATAGATCTCATCACATTATTCAATTCTTCTTCAGGGGCCTTTGAATAACATTCTTCCAACATAGTTGTCTAGATTTTATAAAAGATGGTTTCCCTATTCAAATTAGATTAACTCTTAATTATTTCATTGATTTATTTTTATTCTTCTGATAATTCTTAAACTGATAAAACCCAACAAGCAGTTAGTTTAGCAATTACTCTATTCGAATAATCAATAAATTTACTTTTGACCTTCAGTTTCTATTTCAGATTACTATTACTATTATTATTATGCTTCAGATTCAGTATTTTATGTATTTAGATCAGTTGCATATAGCTTAACAATTAATAGCAAAGTCAATATCTTAAACATATTTATACGTGTATAAATTATTAATAATTTAATTATTTTTAAAATGAGCGAAGAGATAAACTCATTTACTAGTAGTGTTTTATCTGATAATCCAATGATGAGTGAATAAGATGCTCAACTAATAGTTCAAAGTTATAATTAAACTATTCGTATATTTAAGTATATATATTGCAGAATCACTTGTTAAAGAGAATGATGTTTTACAAAAAAAACTTGATGAATATGTTCAAAATGAAAAAGAAGAAGAGTAAAAATTATAATAAACAAAACAGCAATACGAAAAATAAATAACAAGAATGGAATATCTAAAACAATAATAATTGTAAATAGATTAGGAAAGAGAGTAAATATTTACTAATTCAATATTTGAATAATAAAAATAATTGGCTCCAAATGCAGTCAATTATTTGTATGAGTTTCTACATCAAGATTAAAAACAGCCTTCTCATACAAATATAATTCATAACTAAGGAATGGACACTCAAAATTCATTAATGCAATTTGATGAAGATATATCTCCTAAAATAGAATAAAATGATCCTTAATTATTGAAAGATTTACATTAATAGAAAGAAGAACTAGGAAATTAAAAAAATTAACTCATTTCATAAATATTAGAATCAATAGCCAAATATGCTGAATTACAATTATAAAAATGTTCTAAAAAAGAGTGCTAATAATGTCATCTATTATACAATCCAAGAACCAATTATATAGTATTAATTTATACAAATTATTATAGGATTCCTGTCTATTTCATAGTGGTAAATTAAAATTTTATTCATGTAAAAAATGTGGAGCAGATGATTACTATACTTGTTGTAATAAATGTATTAGATGTAGTGAAGGATGTAAAACTAATTTCCATCAACCAAAACCATGATATAATATTATTCAAATAATCGAATCATCCATTTTGCCAGAAGATGCAAATCCTTTTGTTAATTTCTAATTAATTTAACTTTCCATCTTTGAAGAATTATCAAGTTAAATAAATATCCTTTTTTCATATATAGCTTTAAATAGAGCCAATCCTGAGGATACTAATCCACATGCTATTTTATAATATTATTATTAATAATACTAGCCACAAAAACAGGATCTAAATATTGATATCCTGTCATCTTTAAAGATTTAGTTAGCATAAAGAATCTAAGGATTGATAAAATCAATTCTAAAATTTCAAATCTTCTCTTTCTTCTCAATTTAATTAATGAGTTTTATAATTTCTTTGATGTATCTTATGTCATTATTTTTGTCATTTCTTATAAAATCCTATTCTCTTTACTAAATACAATTTATTTAATTTATACTTTTCTCTAAATATTATTAATATTGTTAATCTTAACATATTAATTATTATTCTCATTTAGGAAAAAGAATTTTTCCTTTGTTTCCATCTTGTTTCTATTTCTTTTTATAATACTTTGCTAATATTCTTACTTCAATAGGGAATACCTTTATGCCAAAATTGCAATAATCCACAAAAAGTTATCACTTACATAGTACATGAAACTTGAATAATGTCCAGAAATAGCTAATATTTTGAATAATAATGGCTTATTTTGTTTAATTAATCTTTATATTCCTTTGATTTCATCTAAAAAAAATAAGAGTCTAAATATCTTTCGACTTTATGAAATACTCTACATTAATGAAATGTTAATTACATCTTTAAATTTTTCAGCAACTACAAAACATTTTAAATCATTTTATGAAACCAATTATTGTATATAGAGTAGATTTGAATGTTTTGTACAACTATGATAAAAATCAAATGAATATTGTAATAGTGCCATAAATTTATCTCTACCTTTGGAAGTACTTAAAAATTATGACACATATCTTGATAAACTTGTTGCATTTAAAGCTAATCGTCTTGGAGCTTAATTCATATGATTCTTTAAATTTATGATACTAGTTGAATGGCGAATATGATTAGATTTCATGTTTTTTATATTATAAATTATTAAAATTAAATTTATTAATAAATAGAATGCAAACTTTTGAATATAGTGATGAAGAAATATATTAGGATTCTGTTAAATAGAAAATAGATAAATTACATGATCTACCATTAAAATTTAAACATAAAACTCTTTGTATGAGAAGTGTAAGTGGAATTAGTTCTCGAAAATCATAGACATGTTTTAAATTTAATAAAAGAAGATAAGAGTCTAGTTCTGAATCCTCTTGTGATGATTCTTCTGAAATATAACTATCAGAATTTGATATATCTGATGAGAACAAAAATGCTAATATTTTATGTTAATATAAGAATAGTTTTTTTAATGAGAAAATTAAGATGTTTAATGAAATAAAATCTAAAAAGTTTTGGCTTGGCAACTAAATTAGTAGAATTAAAATAAATAAGGATGAATAATCTATTAATTTAAATAAATCTCCATCTTTAAATAGATAATCATCACCTATTTCTGAAAGTAATCATAATACTTTGACGATTATTAAAAAGAATAAAGATATTACAGATTATTCTATTGATTAATCATTTAAATAAGTCAACTCTCCATTAATGTTCTATTTATCAAATGTTCAATAGACAAGCATCAATAATAATAATAATAATAATAGTTCTAATTTTATTAATAATAGATCATGCTAATAATCTTAGAATAATAGTTAATATACTATTGATGTACCAGGTAATGAATCATTTGTTTAACAATCTTCAATTAAGCTTAATGAAAAAGAACTTTTAAATTAAATAGTTGAATCTGTTTTTAATAGAAACATTTAATTATTGACCAAAATTGTATTATTATTGTAAAAGGAATATAGAACTGATATATTGAATATGAAAGATATTAATGGAAATACACCATTGTTATTAGCTATTAAATTGTAATAATAATAGAATCAATTTACCACTATTCGCTTATTATTATCAAATGGATCTGATCCTACAATTAAAGATAATGATGGGTGGAGTCCAATTGAAGAAGCTGTTGCTCAAAAAGATTTATTGACTACATCATTATTGTTTGATTACTTAGTTTCTAAGAAATTATTTGACATGTAATAGGAACGTAACTAGATTGATTAGGAACTATTAAAAATCAATGATTTCTATCTCGAAATGAAATGGGAATTTAAATCCAGCCTTATTCCTTTTATCTCTAAATTTACTCCTAATGATACTTTTAAAATATATAAGAGAGGTATTATAATTTTATGATTCAGGTTCTTCTTTGAGATTGGACTCTACATTTGCAGGGACTAAGAATTATAAAAATAAAAGAAGGGATCTAACAGTATTTTATAATCCATTAATGGGATAAGTGTAGAGAAAGGAAAATAGTTCAAATTGTAAATTTGTTACTATTTTGAATAGAGCTAAAAAAATATACTATTATCCTATTGTAAAATTATAAAATTAAATTAGCAAGAAATAGATCCTGAAGAAAAGAATCAAATTTTGATGGATTTATTAAATTGTGAAAGTGTAAGTGGGGATATGAAAATTATAGGTTGTGAATTAATAAAAAGTAAGAATTTTTTTGGAAATTATGTAAGTTAGAAAATTAATAATTGGATTTGTTAGAAATATGAATTTCGAATTTTAACTTCATAACATTTCAATAAGAAATATCAATCAAATTATTTTATGAGTTTAGATTAATATTTAAATTAATCTATTGATTAAAATCCTACAAGTGCAAGATTTAATATAGAGTAAATAACAAGTTAAATAGTAGGAGATTAATTATATGTTAATTCTCCTTCTTTTAAATAAGAAAATGAATAAATGAAGAAAAATAAGGAAAATAATCTAAAAAATGGAAATGATAAAAGTATTATTATTTTAATTAATCTTATAGAATAATCAGAATCTTGTTTACTTTATATTAATTAAGAATTCCCATTAAATTTTTAGCAGTTTCTTCCTATTATAAAAATGCTAGCTAATGGGAATGAATTTATTTCATCTTTACAAACTGTTCTATCAAATGAGACTGTTAAATAATTACTTAATAATAAAGGATTTCCAGTTAGAATAGAGATTCCAATAAACTTTACTATTGATGCTGTTGTGACATTTTAAGGATATAAATAAATTGATAATGAAGATATTGAAATAAAGAAATTATTTTAGATTCCAGAAGATTACTAATTGGTTTCTAGAAGAGATGCAACTAAAGTTATGAAAAGAGGAAAAAAAAGATTATTTTTAGCTAATTTATTTTTATGATTTAATATAATATATATATTTATCATTTTTGATGAAATTAAAATATTGAAAAATGCTATTTAAATCAAAGGTATAATTATTTGACAAAATGAGTCAATTTATTATTCTCTAGATTTAAATCTAAAAATAATGTTTTTGATGATTGAATATCTTTCCATAATTTATTTGTCATTTAATTCTTATAATTACGATGCTATTGTTATAATTTAAAAATTGTTGCCATAATTTTCCAATGAGACTCAATTTATTTCATACAAATTGGATAATTAAATAAATATTCTAATCTCTTTTATGTAATAATTGTTTTTAAAATTTTCTATATGCTCATCATTAATAATGATATCTTTTTTTAACAATCATCAAGAAAAGATTCTATACTTTCTATAATAGCTGCTTCTTCACCAGGATATAACCATCTAAATTTGCCTGCTTTATAAATTTGATTGAAATTTCTTTCGATTTTAAATCTTGAAGATTCTAAATACAATGATGTATCATCTTAAATAGCATATTTTTCTAATAATTTTTTTGGAATGTTTTTTGTTATTTTTTCTGATTCTACCCATTTAATATTATACTAATTAATTTCAGATACATATTCTTTAACCAAATTGATTTAATTTGCCAAAGAGATGTTTACTTAAGAAACACAAGAATGTAAAGTTGATTCATAATTGTAATTAGGTAACATTATAGTTGTATTTATATGATTATTTTTAACACTCTATTAAGTACTTTGTAATAATTCTAAATTTTTTATATCAAAATGATTATCAATATTTTCAATGGTTTTCATTCTCTTATTTTAACGATTTATAAATAACAAAGCTGTTTTAGCTAGAGAATTAATATGATAAGTATTTGATCGCTTTCTGTCATGATATTATTCAGTCATTTATATATTTTTTTCCTTACTTTTAGACTTTGAACATAAACTAGTCTTTTTTGTTTTATTAATAGATTTCAAATCTCTTAATTATGATATTGTTAAATTCAACACTTGAGGTTATTCAAATGATTAACCTAGGTCTTCAGTTGATGTCGAATATTTCTATACACTATATTAATTCCTTAAAATTCTTGGTTTATGGATTATTTAGTTCATTATAAAACTCTATGAGTATTTTGGAGGACAATTAAGTGAAGCATGTTAATTCTTTGTATATAGATCTGGACATCTCAGTTAATCAATAAATATTTAATTACAATTCATTTTAATGAATAATGAAGAAGAATTACTTAATTTTTATAAAGATGAATTAGTGTGTCTAAAAGAATCTATAATGTCATTATAAGAATAGAAGCAGAAATTAATTGAAGTATCAAAATCTATAATTTTTAGAAAGTTGAACAACTTGAAAAATAAAATAACATTCTTAAAGAAAATAATGATAACTTGAGTGAAATGTTTACTTAATATAAAGAATATACATCCACACAAATTAGAGATCTAGAATTTTAGTTAGTTAATTTAAGTGTGGAAAGGGCTGATAGAGAATTGCTTTTAGATGTATCAATATTTTTTAATAAAAGACTTTACATTAGGAAATCAGATAATTAAAAAAGGCAAATTTTGAAAAAGAATAAATTATAAAGGAATAAGAGAGTATCAAATAGGGAGATAATGTATCATCATTTCAAGATTCACCAGATAATTTAAGTTAAATAAGTTAAGATGACTAAAGTTAAAGAAATGTTGAAATCAAACAAGAATAAGTCATTTATTTAAAAAGTAAAATTAATGCAATTATATATAAGAATAATTTCATACACCCTAGAAAAATAACAAACCTGAGATCTAATCTATTATTGATAGTATTCCAAAATCAGAATATACTATATTATATGAAGAAGAAATGAAGAAAATTAAAGTAAAGTAATCTTAAAATTTAGGATGTTTCAAATAAATAATTTGAAATGAAAATTTGGTAAGATCAAGTTATGGTACTTTTTAAAGAAAAATATAAAAATGAAAAAATCATTAATGGAAAATTAAGAGAATTACTTAGAAATTCATATCCAGAACAACATAGAGGCAAAATCTGGTCTTTTGTAAGAATATTATTTAAGTTAGTTAATTGGTAATCAATTATAAATAAATAAATAACTTTATGAAAAATTGTTATTATCCATTCCTAATCATCCATTGATCACTAATGAACTAAAAAATTTGATTAATAAGTATTTTCATTGTTATTAAGTGATCTTTAGAGAACATTTACTATTATCAATGATTTTGAAAATTCAGATAAATTGAAAGATGAATTAAGAGAGATACTTACCATATTTCATGTATTAGATTAAGTTATCATATAAGATTTATAGACCAGATATGGGATATATTTAAGGTATGACATATTTAGCATTCATGTTTTTAATAAGAATGCCTAAACAAAAAGCTTTGAAATGTTTAGCCAATATTTTATTCAAAAGCCAATTGTTGAGAACATTCTATTAATTTAAAAGTCATTATTTAGAAGCTTACTTTTTATTATTTGATTCTTTTTTCCAAGAAAAATTACCAGTGTTAGCTAATAAATTTAATTAGATCAAATTACCAAAACAATCATTTTTAGTAGAATGGTTTTATACTGTATTTTCAAGAGCATTCAATTTAATAACATCAAGCAAAATTTGGGATTATTTTTTATGTGAAGGTGATTTATTCTTAATAAGATTAACTTTAGCAGTATTATCAAATTTAGAACCAGATTTATTAAAATGTGAATATGAAGTAAATATTAATTTTATTTTAGGATATATTAATGCTAATAAGATAGAAAACATATTAGATAAAAATAGATGAATTATTTAAACATTTAAATAAATTCAAAATTGAATAGAAGACCTTCCAAATCAGATTATAAAAATAATTAGATGATTTGTGAAAGTTATCATATTTAAAAGGAAAAAGTATATTATACATAATTTTATCAAAATTAATATTATCAACATTTTCCTGATATGGATCTAATTGTTTTAAAGAATTTACAAGTACTAGGTGTAATATGTGTAATATTGGTTTATTAATGAGTTCTACTTTCCATTTCAGTTAAATTGACAAGTGTCTGATTATTATTGTAGCTCTTTTGATTTGACTATTTTCTTGCCCTTAATTTTACATGAGTTGGTATTATTACAGAAGAACGCTACATTTGTTATTACCTTAATATCTCAACTGAATTTTCTGTTTCAATAGTCTATCCAATTGATGTTTACGAAGAAGTAATAAAAATTGAGTTTCTTTTTCTATCTTTTTTTTCATGTTGAATCTTTTTATATTAATATTTTTTCAATATTTATGTTATAAGCTTTCTATTATGTGCTTATTTTTATTGAGATAAACATTCTCTTTCATTTTATTATTATCTGACAAATCTATCTCTTATTTATTATAAATTGTTATTATTTATTATAAATCTTAATTCAGATTCTTCCTCTGGTTCAAGTGATTTTCGTTTTTAGTCATAATCAATATGTTACAATAATATTTCATTTTAAGAAACCTTTAAATTTTTTTAAGATCTTATACAGATTTGTTTATTATTGATATTGAGAAAGAGATCTTTCATTTAAGATTAAGAATTTAGATTATGATTAAGGGAAGTTAAATAATCATCATAATTTTTAAAGTTGTCTAAAATCAATCTTTATCGTTTATTAATGTAATCTTTATTAATTTATATTCTTTCTCTTAAGCAATCCATAATATCAGGATGATTTCCTTGAATAGCTCTGAAATCAGATTATTCCATATAATAAGCATTAGTATTATCAACAACTTCACAACAGTATTTTCTTTATGGCAAATCTTCTATTAATTCTTCTTATCCAATTATACTACCATCTGATAATTGACTTAACTTATTCATTATAATATAATAATACAATTATCTTTTATTTATTTGATTATTTTGATAAATATAATTTATCATATGATAAGTTTTAATTCTTTTTTTTACCCATTAAGGTATCTCTATCAAAATATTTATAAAGTTAGACTCTACCAGTTACTATAATAAAAAAGAATTATGGTTCATCTCCTATTTACCATAAGATTGTTTTGCTATGAAAAACAATAGGTCTTAGATATTAGATGAATTTAGAAATATTAAATTTGAGAGTTCCAGGAAATATCTTCATAAAATAATCTATAGTATTTCTGGCTTATTAAATAGATTTCTGAAAGATCAATTTAAAATCATTTCTCCTCATAGTTATACAAAATGCCTTCTCAGAATAGACAATGATACTTGCTGATCTAGGTTTGTCAGATGTTAATGCTACATCTCCAAAACTTTATCCTGAATAATATTAGAAAATCTATAATTATTTTATTATTATTACTTTTTAATATAAGAGTACTCCATCTTTATAATATTTATCACCTTACATTTTAAGTAAGTTATCAAAATTTACTGTTACCTATTTTTTTTATACCTTCACTAATTCTATTTCTTCTAATTTCTTTACTTATTCAATATCTCTATTAATATCATCTAATGGTCTAGGTCCAAATACACCGACTTCTCCTTTTAATATTATGTACATTTTATCACCATATTCACCATAATGAAATATTGGTTATCCATAATCATACTATTCAAATTAAAAATATTTAATTGCATTTGTAACAAATTCACTTAACTTCATTCCTTCTGGACAATTTTATTTAAAGAATTCAATTGTAGATAATGAATCAATTACTGTTTCTATTAATTCATTATTTTCAATCTTTCCATATTCTTAATAAAGTTTTAATGTCTATGATAAGTGCTCTTCATTTTCTTTTTTAATTCTTGCATGTCTTGCTGCCTAATCAAAGATGAGAGTTTTATTTTACTTAGACATTATTATATAATAAAATTAATATAAATTTTCAAGAATTTGATAGTGATTAAAGATTTAAAAAATGAAAAATCATATAATATGAATTATAGAAAAAGATATAATATTCTTATCAATGATGATTTTTTCTAATTTTTTTCTTTTGTATTTAAATAACTTCTTTGTTCTTGGAATCATTATCAATCATTTCTGTGTCTTTTGTATTATTATCACTACTAACTTCTGTTCTCATTTGTTTTCCATTGATAAAATTTCGTATCATATTATACAAGCTGATTTGTCTTTCCATTTATACTTAGAACTAGTCATATCGATGACGAAGATCAGGATTAGAAAGTATTCGATAAGCCTCAGAAATTATTCTAAATTCTGCTGATTCAGGATTCTTATCCTGGTCATATTTTCATAATTTACTGGATGATGTTATTTGGCAAGAACGCGATATGCTTTTTTTATTTGTTCCTATGTCGAGTTATTTGAAACACCAAGAATATTGTAATAATTCATATATTAATTGAGTAAATGTTTATTACATGCCAATTAAAACATAATTAGAATTGTTTCGAACTTTCTAAATGTTTTTATTGCCATTCATTATTATCTTATTCTTCTATAGAATTACCATCAATTCTCATCAAGAACTACACATCTTAACATCTTTTATTTATTTCCTCTTAACCATCATAAATTTTATATATAACAAATAAAAAACTTTACTTTTTTATATAATTCTAAATTGATATTTCCATTTAAATAACCTCTCAGAAATTCTTTTGATAATTTTTATAAAAAATAAACAATAATAAAAATAATTAAGTAAATACGACCATCAATGTTCTATTAATTTATTTAATTCATTTAAGTTTATATCAATTGCAAAATAAATTGTCAAAAGTTTTATAACCAATTAGATTAATTTCTTTATTAAAAACGAATAAGATCATTAGAGTTATTAGGTTATTTTTTTAGAAACATTGATTTAATTAAAATTATCATATTTTTATCCCTCTCTTCTATTCATATATCTCATACATTAATATCTAAATAAGTTATTTGTTTTCATTTCTATTCTTAGATAAGTCTTCATGAAACTTCAAAATTCATTATTTATGTCATTAATAATCATTAGAAAAGATAGGATTTTATAAGACTTTACTCATATAATAAAGAATTTAGTAAGCCTTAATTAATAATAAAAATTTAAAGGATTTAATTGTAATTTTAAATAAGTTCTATTATGGAAGATTATTAGGATTCAACAAAATGATTTACATTATAACGAAAAATGAATGAAATAGTCTAATTATAGATTATTAAATTTAATGAATTGAATATTTATCTTCTCATATTAGTATTATAGAAATAATCTTATTTATTTATTAAAATTTTTGATAAATGTTAAAAGAGAAACTGCAAGAAATAAAGGATTCAAATACAAATTTATATTAACATTTGAATAATGTATTGACTAAGATATTATTGGATAATCCAAAAGTATGAATATATTATGAGTTATAATTGTAGAATGCTTTTGAATTATTTGAAGATTATTCATTTTAAGTAAAATCAAATGGATTCACATTTGATAAATATAATGAATTTGATAATGCAGAGAGAACAAAAGTTACTATGGATTAAGCTATTTAATAAAAGACATTGAAACTAATCAATAAAATTAATCTTGGAACTGATGAAGAACCTTAAGAATCAACTTAAACTGGATATTTACCAAATTTAACAGAAGAATCATATTTATATGAATGGGCTGGTATTGGAATTGATGAGAATTATAAAATATTTAAAGCATTGACAGTAATTATATTAATTTAATATATTAGTTATTATCTGTTACTAAATAAGCATCTAAACTTAGATTTTGGGGTAAAATTATGGGAAGAGATAAAGATTATTATATTGCTGAAGGAGTTGCTACTAGTACTGTTGAAGATGGTGAATTACCACCTGAAGTTGAACCAAGAGGATCTGGTATTAATACTAAATCATATTGGGCATGCACTGATATTTTGAATGATAAAGATTGGGTTGAATTACCATTGGTTACACCATAATAAATCAATATATCTAGATAAATTAAATATATGTTTACAGGTAATTTAGAAAATGATGTGATTACAAATCCTTATTTCTTTGGAAAAGAAAAACATTTATTAAAAGCATAAATTGTTAGAATTACATAATCTACTGTTATTATTCCAAAAGGTTAATATATTTTAAGAGAAGGGGAACCTAGAGAAATAGATCCAGCACCTGAATATAAATTACCAGGATTTCATGATTTAAAAACATTAAATGATTGGATGCATTTTAATTAAAATATATTAAATGTATATTATTTATTATTATTATATTAGTGTGGTAGATTAGTACATTTAATACCTTCTGAATTACCTGAAGGTGTTGAACCAGAAGCTTATTAAAAATAAATAGAAGCTGCGGATCCTTTTGAAAATAGATTAAAACCTATTTCAAATGATAAAATATAAAATAATAAACCAGCTTGGAAAATTAGAATTGTTGGTGATACAACTGATTATAATCCTTTAGCCAAAGACACTAATAATAAAGTTAATAATGGTGTTATTATTATTAAATCTTTAGTTTGGCCAGGATTAGTAACTGTCTATTCTGTAATAATCTATTTTAATTTATAATAGAACAAAGTATTATCACAATTATATTATGGTTATGGATTTAANTTAAAATTTTTGATAAATGTTAAAAGAGAAACTGCAAGAAATAAAGGATTCAAATACAAATTTATATTAACATTTGAATAATGTATTGACTAAGATATTATTGGATAATCCAAAAGTATGAATATATTATGAGTTATAATTGTAGAATGCTTTTGAATTATTTGAAGATTATTCATTTTAAGTAAAATCAAATGGATTCACATTTGATAAATATAATGAATTTGATAATGCAGAGAGAACAAAAGTTACTATGGATTAAGCTATTTAATAAAAGACATTGAAACTAATCAATAAAATTAATCTTGGAACTGATGAAGAACCTTAAGAATCAACTTAAACTGGATATTTACCAAATTTAACAGAAGAATCATATTTATATGAATGGGCTGGTATTGGAATTGATGAGAATTATAAAATATTTAAAGCATTGACAGTAATTATATTAATTTAATATATTAGTTATTATCTGTTACTAAATAAGCATCTAAACTTAGATTTTGGGGTAAAATTATGGGAAGAGATAAAGATTATTATATTGCTGAAGGAGTTGCTACTAGTACTGTTGAAGATGGTGAATTACCACCTGAAGTTGAACCAAGAGGATCTGGTATTAATACTAAATCATATTGGGCATGCACTGATATTTTGAATGATAAAGATTGGGTTGAATTACCATTGGTTACACCATAATAAATCAATATATCTAGATAAATTAAATATATGTTTACAGGTAATTTAGAAAATGATGTGATTACAAATCCTTATTTCTTTGGAAAAGAAAAACATTTATTAAAAGCATAAATTGTTAGAATTACATAATCTACTGTTATTATTCCAAAAGGTTAATATATTTTAAGAGAAGGGGAACCTAGAGAAATAGATCCAGCACCTGAATATAAATTACCAGGATTTCATGATTTAAAAACATTAAATGATTGGATGCATTTTAATTAAAATATATTAAATGTATATTATTTATTATTATTATATTAGTGTGGTAGATTAGTACATTTAATACCTTCTGAATTACCTGAAGGTGTTGAACCAGAAGCTTATTAAAAATAAATAGAAGCTGCGGATCCTTTTGAAAATAGATTAAAACCTATTTCAAATGATAAAATATAAAATAATAAACCAGCTTGGAAAATTAGAATTGTTGGTGATACAACTGATTATAATCCTTTAGCCAAAGACACTAATAATAAAGTTAATAATGGTGTTATTATTATTAAATCTTTAGTTTGGCCAGGATTAGTAACTGTCTATTCTGTAATAATCTATTTTAATTTATAATAGAACAAAGTATTATCACAATTATATTATGNTTAAAATTTTTGATAAATGTTAAAAGAGAAACTGCAAGAAATAAAGGATTCAAATACAAATTTATATTAACATTTGAATAATGTATTGACTAAGATATTATTGGATAATCCAAAAGTATGAATATATTATGAGTTATAATTGTAGAATGCTTTTGAATTATTTGAAGATTATTCATTTTAAGTAAAATCAAATGGATTCACATTTGATAAATATAATGAATTTGATAATGCAGAGAGAACAAAAGTTACTATGGATTAAGCTATTTAATAAAAGACATTGAAACTAATCAATAAAATTAATCTTGGAACTGATGAAGAACCTTAAGAATCAACTTAAACTGGATATTTACCAAATTTAACAGAAGAATCATATTTATATGAATGGGCTGGTATTGGAATTGATGAGAATTATAAAATATTTAAAGCATTGACAGTAATTATATTAATTTAATATATTAGTTATTATCTGTTACTAAATAAGCATCTAAACTTAGATTTTGGGGTAAAATTATGGGAAGAGATAAAGATTATTATATTGCTGAAGGAGTTGCTACTAGTACTGTTGAAGATGGTGAATTACCACCTGAAGTTGAACCAAGAGGATCTGGTATTAATACTAAATCATATTGGGCATGCACTGATATTTTGAATGATAAAGATTGGGTTGAATTACCATTGGTTACACCATAATAAATCAATATATCTAGATAAATTAAATATATGTTTACAGGTAATTTAGAAAATGATGTGATTACAAATCCTTATTTCTTTGGAAAAGAAAAACATTTATTAAAAGCATAAATTGTTAGAATTACATAATCTACTGTTATTATTCCAAAAGGTTAATATATTTTAAGAGAAGGGGAACCTAGAGAAATAGATCCAGCACCTGAATATAAATTACCAGGATTTCATGATTTAAAAACATTAAATGATTGGATGCATTTTAATTAAAATATATTAAATGTATATTATTTATTATTATTATATTAGTGTGGTAGATTAGTACATTTAATACCTTCTGAATTACCTGAAGGTGTTGAACCAGAAGCTTATTAAAAATAAATAGAAGCTGCGGATCCTTTTGAAAATAGATTAAAACCTATTTCAAATGATAAAATATAAAATAATAAACCAGCTTGGAAAATTAGAATTGTTGGTGATACAACTGATTATAATCCTTTAGCCAAAGACACTAATAATAAAGTTAATAATGGTGTTATTATTATTAAATCATTAGTTTGGCCAGGATTAGTAACTGTCTATTCTGTAATAATCTATTTTAATTTATAATAGAACAAAGTATTATCACAATTATATTATGGTTATGGATTTAAGGCTACAAATAATCATTTCTATCCTAAATAACCATAATAAGTTTAATAAGAATAACCAGATCTTCCAGAATAACCAGAACCCAATTTCCCAGCTGAAGTCCCTTAATAACAATAAGATTGATCATTATTATTATTAAATTATGGAATAAGAGGATACAACACCAATCAATATCAATATTACAGAATCTATTGCATCAAAGCACGTTTCTTATAACATCAAAGGAGAAGATAGAATAGGCCAATTTGAAGCATTACGTCGTTACAATGACTTTCATGTTCTAAGACTGACTTTATTACAAAGATGGCCAGGATGCTATGTTCCTCCAATTCCAGCAAAATAAGCTCTTGTATGATTAGTATTTAATAGTAAAGGGAAATAATGAATAAAAAGTAGTAGAGGATCGTAAAAGATTCCTATAATATTTCCTAGAATAAGTGGCTAAGTTAAGACATATTTACTTTTCAGATGAATTTTAAACGTTCTTAAGAACAAAGAATACTGATATGGAGAAAGTATTATAATATATTTGATATAAATAGGCATTACAAGGATTACCAAAATAATCTATATAAGAAGTGTATGAAAAATTTAAGAAAAATTTTCCCCATTTAAATGGAAAAGAGGTGAATTCAGATTTAGTATTGAAAGTATCTAGTTTTTCCACTTATTTAAATAAAACAACAAAATAATTAGAAAGTCTTAAAGAATAAGTGAAATTATTGGCTGCAGCAAAGAAATAATATACAGATTAATTTAGTATTACTAATGATATATATATTTTAGATATAATGACTTAAACTATTGTACCAGAATATGAGAAAAATATTTTAATAGAGTATGTTAATCATAAAACAGAGAATTTAATTTTTACAAATCACAATGACGTAAATGTTACCGCAAGAGAAATTGTAATATTGATTTAATATTTCAGAAAGATTAAAATGCTTAAACGAATAATTATGATTATCTAGTTGATTTGTTAAGAATTGAATGTAGGGAAGTGGAAGCATTTTAAGAAACATTGAAATAAAAAGAATTTGTAGACAATTTGAAAACTTCTGCATAACAAAAATTAAGAGATTAAAATAGTGAACTTGTAAAATTATAAGCTGGAAAAACAACATTTAAATCCATGTTTTCAAAAGGATCAAATACAGAATAAGCATAGATATTAGAAAAGAAAATTTAAGATGTATAAAATAAATATAATTTTTATAGACTTAAAATGAAATTAAATTATTAGAAGAACTTTGTATCATGATTACATCCATCTTATGCTTTGATGAAATTGATAGATTCAAAAAGAACAAATAAAATAAATATTATGAAATTTTAATTAAAGTTAGCTAATTGGAATAATAACTCAATTAATTAGTATTTATAATATTCAATTATACTAGTACATTAAATTCTGGTCAGAAGTATCAAAAGGAACAGAAGCAGAAGTAGTTGTTTGAAAAAATAAAAATATAAATAAAAAATATAATATTTTTATAAAAATATAAATTTTCAACTTTTAATAATAATATAAATTTTGATAAAATCTTATTATATAAATTTAATTTGATATATTCAAAAACCTAAGAATATTTGTAAATCTTATATATTAAAAATAAAAATGCAGTAATAACAAAGTTAAGAAAATTAAGAATAAGTAAATATAGAATAAAAAACACTCATTGATGAATGTGAAATCTGTTTATAAGAAATCAAAACTAAAGGTGTTTTCAAAAAATGTAAACATTACTTTTGTATCAATTGTGTTTTGAATTGGACCTTACATTAGAAATCATGTCCTAAATGTAGATGCAAAGTTTCAAGTATTATAAAAATTTCTATAAGAAAATATCCTCGTTCAATTAAAAAAAAAACATCTAGTAAGTATCATGAATATTTTAAGAATAAATCATCTATTTGCCTAATTCTGAAAGTGAAAGCAGTGATTCAGATTATATTCCTATTGATACATTTGTTGGGAAATATGGACCTGAAGATTTTCTGTGAAATATAAATTTAAATATATTATAAAATAAATTTACCGCTTAATCAATTAAACTCATTATTTTATTGATTTTTTATTAATAGTAATTAATATTTAAAAAATAATATATTTACTTAGATTTTTAGTATTTTTTAGAAATAGTTTTCTACCTTGATTTCTCATATCAAAATTATATAAGACTAAATATTAATTCAAATTAAAATATTTTAATGTCCCTCATTTTTTTTAGAACTAAATCCTTATTATATTAACAATTTAATAAAAATACTTAAATAAATTATTAATAATATTTTTTATAGAAGTTTTATCTTGTTTTTATAAATATTATTAAAGTTTATACATGAATCCTTCTCTAGTAAAAAAATGTAGGCTTAAAAATTTAAGAATTTTTGCCAAACTATTGATTTATATGATGCTTATCCAAGTCTATTCATATTTGGAAATTAATAATATTCAAGTATCCTTGGAGTTCTCTTTACTTTGTTAGCATCAGCATTGACATTTGCTTATTTATAATTAGATAGGATAATTATCACTATCTAAATTAAGTGTTTCTCCTAGTAATTCAAATATTTAAGAGGTTCAAACAGTTAAAATCTTTCTCAATAATTAATATAATAGAAGAAAATTTGATAATTTATAAGTTTGATAAATCATATATAAATACACTATATATTGTACTATAATTTATCATTATATATAATTTAATAGATATTTAACAAATCTATTTTTTTAATAATTTTATAAATTATAAATTGTAATTAAGATTTGAATGATAATCATAAATAAAAGTTTTACTAAAACTACTTTTTCATTTTGCTTACATTTCCTAAGAATACTTCTTTAGGAAATCTATTTTTGGTTACTATATCAATTTATTTTCCAAATGTCTAAAGGAATGGATCTTAATTTATTGGATGCATAGGAGGCAAGAATTTTTGTTTTTTTAAAGAATTGTCACAAAATATTGAGAAATTATTTGATTATTATTCTCCTTTTTAATACTAACAGTGATCAGTTTCATTATTACTATCATCATTAATCAAATTAGGTTGACTATTATTATATATTTGATCTTTGTTATGAATACTAAAGGCTCTAGGTTTAGTTATATAAGTTTTTCTTTCTTATTGTTAACTAAATTATCTTGTTTTACGAATTTAATACAATTAGTTTTTAAGATGTTCTTAACGTTAAATAAATTACAATAACTATGTTGTGATTTTTAATTACCTAGCATTATTTGACTACTAATTTAGATTAGTAAGTTGAGATGGACATTGAATAATCATTCTAAATGTAATTATTTTATTGAGAAGGGTTTCTTATCTATTTATTATCATAAAGAGATTTATCTTACATTATAAGATGAATAAAATAAGAAATAATTAATTAGTTGGAATTGTAATTAAATAATGAAATGATGATGAAATAAGTAATGAATATTTATAATTAAATTGTTATGGAATCGTAATTGAAATAAAATTAAATGAAATAAAATAATAAATTATATATAATAAATATATATATATATATATATAATGTCTTACAAATTCATTTTAAGCAATAAGAATCAGTATTCTAAGGATCGCAATGTTAATATAGATTATAGTCCTGTTTTTAATATGTATAAAGAATAAATTATAATAATTTAGATAGTTGTAATAAAAATTGAATATATTTCCAATTTTCAATGATGATCATTAATTTACAACTCCTGGATTTATTATTGAATATGAGAAAGTATAAATAATTTATATATTAAATTTAGCCTGCATATGAAAGCAATTTAAACTATCATTAACAATTATTTAATCAAAAAATTGAATAAATAAAAATAAAAAATAAATAATTGGTATAAATCATAATGATTATTTTAGTTGATTCCAAAACCAAAACATCGAGTTTAGATTTGCTCAGTTTGTAAGACTAAATATACAGATTACTTAACTGTATTAATAAAGAAATTAAATTAATTAGCATACTTAATCAAATTTACATAAAAAGTTGTTCTTAGCATCACCATATATTAAGAAAATTGAGAAAATTTAAAATGATTTGAACTAATAATTATCAAATTATAATTCTTAATCAACAGATACAGAAGATGCTTCATTATTAGAATAAAGTAATAGAAAGAAAATTAAAATGGATATATCCTAAATGATTTCAAATTACTGAATGATAAAAATGTATTATTATTGTAAAATTCATTTTTATTATTATTATAATTATTTTCTAGTTTCTTCCATTTTTTATCTATAAATTCTTTTTTATCTTTCAATCTAAATTATTTAATACTAAATAATTTACATATTCAGGTCTAATTTCTTCTTTTATAGGATTCTCAGTTTTAAATTCTGAAATTTTCATACCTGATTTTTATTCAAATTCTTGAATTCTTTCAGCTGCTATCTAATCCATGTATTTAACATTATAATAAACATAATATCCACTAAATGCAAATAAGGTTCCTATTAAAATAAATGCAAACTATTTTGGAGAATTATTTTATTTTTATTATGAGAAATGTAAAACACTTTTATAATGTTTCATAAGGTATTTTTATTTATCAAATAACCTTAATTAAATATATTAATATGAATGTTTGTTTAGTACAATCATTAAAAAAAATAAGGATGTCTTAAAGCATCATTGCAATTGATTCTTTTTGATGGACTATAAACAAAGATCTTAGACAATAAATCAATTAATAATGGATCAGTTTTCTAATTCAAAACAATATAAATAAATATCATACTTAATTTCTTTGATTATAAATTAGGAATATAAAATTAACATCCCAATTCAGCCTTTTCTAATTCATTAGGAGTACCTAACAATTTACATATTTCTACTATCTAATCAACAGTATTCTGTCCAAAAAATAATTATTTACCTAATTCCAATTCAGCCAATATACAACCAGCTGCCCATATATCAATTTTAGTATTATAAAATATTTAACCAAATAGTAATTCAGGTGCTCTATATGCTCTAGAACATACATAACTCAAACTCTTAGATCCATCCATTTTTTTAGCACTACCAAAATCAGCTAGATATATGTTTCCACTTTAATACAAAATATTTGCTGGTTTAAGATCTCTATGCATAATATTTTATGATTCTAAATATTCTAATGCTTAAAATAATTATTTAGCCACTCTTTTTAATGGAACTCTAATTGCATTTTTCAGATTTCCTTAATATAAATCCATAACTAAATGTAAATATTTAGCCTTATTTTCAATAGTATAATAATGATCACGTAAAGGTACAATATGTGGATGATGCATATTCATATGTATTTCTAATTCTCTATTTATTTATTTCGGATCTTGCAGTACTTTCTTCATTGCATAATAACCACCATGCAATTTATCTTCAACAATAAATATAGTACTATAACTACCCTATCCAATCTATTCTAAAATTTAATATTTATTTGATTTATTAATATTTTAATTATTAAGAGTCATGTATTTAGGTATTAAACATCTTTCTTGAGATGTTGACAATTAATGTTTATCATTGGGAGTTACTCTTCTTTTCTTTGATTTATTTTAATTTAATTGCATATATTTATATTTATATATTTATTTAATTTCTTAATGAAATTCAATTATTTTTATACATATTCTATATAATGATTGTATATCAAATTATAATGAAACTCTGATTATAATCATGTAAATTAAGAAAAATAGATGAAGATAATACAGATATCATTTATATAAATAATTTAGATGATCCCTAACAGAAACCATCAATTTAAATATTTTAATTAAATGTTATCCACAAGATTATTTACATATAAAGGTGATAAGCATTATATAATACTATTCTTTGTTAAAAATAATAGTAGACTAGAATTTAGAGTGCAATTAAATTTTATATATGTATTGAAAATAATATAATAGTGTATCATAACAATCCTAAAATATATTTGAAAATTTAATAAATAATGCAAAATACTTTTATAAAATGATTTATTGCAATTTAGATAAATCAAAACTTCATTTTTTATAAGTTATAAGTAATATAAGGTAGTAATTCAACTATGAACTACTTTAAATTGTAACCTTAATTTAATTTATTTATTTGAGATGAAGAAAAGAAGTAAGTTACTTAATTATAGAATTTAGTTGAATTTTTACAAAATTTTAACATTATTATATTAAAATTTATTTAGTGAATAAAACTACACTATTAAGAATATAGAAATTATTGAGGAAATTTAAATAAGTCAAATTATTTTTAATTGTTAATCATAATTGCTTTTGCTTTAGAATATTAATTATTTAGAAGTGTTTATCAAAGTTTGTAAAGAAAAATGTAAAATTGTTGAAGAAAGCAAGCGTTCTTAGATATAACAATTAAAAATCAAGTCTAATGATTTTATTAATTTAATTCAGCCTGATTAAATTCAGTATATTATAATATTAAATTGAGTGTATATAATTAAATAGGAAGTGTTAAGATACAAATAGTATTATATTTAAAAACAACAAATTGAGAGATAATTTCGAAATTATGTTAAAATAGTATTGAAATTATAAATATAGGATAATGTGATAAGAAATGGAAAAGAATTTGTAAATCTCCAAAAGAATTATAATTAAATTATATTAAAATGATAAAATCTTATTTAATAAAAAAAATAGAGATAAATAGGGGAATTATAACTTAATTATTATTATTTAATTAATATTATTGATGCAAGTAAAGTTATCCTTTTTCGACGATGCTAAATTCTCAAAGTCTTTTTGGGAGAAAACCAACATTTAGATAGAGGAATAAAAAATTGAATTTTAATCTGTCCTATTTGAAAAAAGCAAAAAAACTGGTTTTTGGACAAGCAAAAACTATATCATTTAAGATGGTAAATTAATAAAGTTGAGGGTATATAAATAATTATAAATGATAGCCAAATAAGAAAAATATACATCATGTTAATCTAGGGATATCAAGAATAGAGAGAATTAAGTATAAAAATGAATAGGAGTCTGATGTTTGTAATAAAGTATTGAATAATATATATATTTATAGAAGAAATATGGTTTTCGAATAATTCGTAATTAGAAATTTAAAGAACTGTATTCAAGATCTAAAGAACTAAATTAATAAATCTGGGATTTTCTCAAAAAGTAATGTCTTCAACTTACATTCAAAGAAGAGTATGTTATTGAAAGAATGATTGGAAAAGGAAATTTTGCTAAAGTAATTAAATTTAATATGACAGGTGTATCTTTGTACTAAAAAATTTGATAAATTGTAATATGCTGTTAAGGCATTTGAAAAAAGTAAGATGATGAATTCTGAAACTGATAAATAAGCATTAATTAAAGAAATGTCAATTATGAGGAAGTTGAATTACAAAGGATTAATAAAAATGCATGAAATATTTGAAGATGATACTCATATTTTCCTAGTTCAAGATTATTTATAAGGAGGTGAATTATATTAATAGATAAAAAAGAATTAAAAATAATCTGAACCAATAGTTGCTACTATTCTAGCTACTTTATTAGATTCTTTAGATTATTTACACAAATAAAACATTCTTCATAGAGATCTCAAACCAGAAAATATGATATTACGTAAAAAAGGAGTTTTGGAAGATGTTGTAATAGCAGATTTTGGATTAGCAGATTTTTATGATCCATTAGGTAATTATATGTTTCAAAGATGTGGAACTCCTGGATTCGTGGCTCCAGAAGTATTATAAGATAAGATTTATGATTCGAAAGTTGATATTTTTAGTGTTGGTTGTCTAATGTTTCTTTTGATTGCTGGTAAATCTCCTTTTAAGGGTTCTACTTATGATGAAGTTGTAATGAGAAATTATCATTGTAAAATTGATTATCCATCTATTGATACTATTATTAGTAGTGCAGGTACATTCTTTATTATATATATTAAAAGGATTATAACTATTAAAATTATTGTTGCATCCTCGACCATCATAAAGACCATAACCTAGAGATGCCTTAAGACATGAATGGTTTATGATCAATCTAGATAAAACAAGATATTAAGAATTAAATAAATCAGAAGAATATGTTTATGATACTAAAGATACTATTAAATCAAGTAATACTGATGCAGGTAGTTGTGGATTTATGAAAAACTTTATTGGTCCTTCAAATTTAGATAAACCTGAATTTATGACTCCTCAATAAAATTGTATTGGAAATAAAAAGAAAGATAATCTTCTATTCACTCCCCAGATTACAGTTATGCAATAAATTTAAGAATAATTTAATGATAGTGAAGAATAGATGTCTATAAAAAATTTAGATGATGACTTTACAGATATGGTATTCGATGATGAATCACCATAATCTCATAGGTTACCTTAATATCAATTAGTAGGAAAGCTAAAATAAGCTGTTGATTCTAATAATTCTTCTTATTATGCATCTCCTATAATCAAAGTAACAGATATATATTTAATAAATTTACTAGAAAACACCAGAGAGTCTTGCCAAAGATATCTATCCAAAAGTAATGACAATAAAAGAAAAAATATATGAATAATAGACTTAGCCGAAGATTGCTAGCAAAATAAAAAATAATTTGAAAAATCTTGAGCAATTATGATTTAATGACTAAAATAATTAATAATGTTTTAGAATTCTATTTCAAATCTCATTCTCATACAAAAAATAAGACTGTAGTTATGAGAATTTTCAAGATATTTAATATTCTCTATTGACTATTGGGGATATTTTTAATTCCTCTTAGAAAACCAAAATTAATTTAATTGGCATTCATGCTTTAAGATTGAAGTATAATTCAAACAATTTCTATAAAAGGGTAGTAATACAGATTTTGTATCAGAATGTTATTATATGTTCTAATAAATTCAATGTAATTGCAAAATAGGATAATTATAATATGAGTAATAAATGAAGATCTTATAAAGAATATACAATGTTAATCTTGTATTTAAAGAATTCAATTGATAATGAATTCAAATCAATTGATCTAAATTATTAATAATAATCAAAGTATATTATTAATAATTTTAATAGTATGAATTCAGAAGCTTCAATACGAACCATAAGTGTAAAATATACAGTTGTGTTTTGTGTTATCATTGGTTTCTTATTTTTATTTTCACAAATCCTTGACAATTTATTCTATGATTATACTATTATAGAAACAGAAATTGTCTTCATTAAAAGAGTTGGTATATTTAATGACTAATGATAGATTAAAATAATAATTAAATGATTATAGAATTAAATGAAGTTACTGAATAGAGTAATTCATTGGTTCTTACTTTATAAAATAACATGTAAAGCACAATAGAGCAGATTTATAAAAAAATCAATTATTAAGTAAATGAAGAAGAAGATTATACTTTGTAATAATTTAATAATCAATATCGATAATCATTTAATCTGATATCAGAGTCAATATTTTTAAAAAATAAAATGAACAATTCTATGGATTCAATTTATCTATTAAATATAAAGAAGACCGTTAATACAGATTTTGCAGGAGTAGGTATTTATTTTTTACTTATTATATAGATATCTCAATTTATTCAGATTATGGTACAAACTTTTTTGATTTATCACAATCTATCACATTAAACAATTTTTGGAATGAAGAATTGTAATTAAATTTAAAAAACAAAATTGTAACTAAATTTATTGAAGGATTGAATTATATACTGCTTGTATTATATGATTATACAACATATGATTAATAAATTGCATTATTAAGAGATAATGATTTAGAAATTATACATACATCAAAGCATTAGATTTAAAATATTGCAACAATAAATTATAATATCATATTTCATTATTAATATGATAGAGATATATATTTATATGAACGTATTTAATTTATTATTATTTAAGTGTAGTTAATTCATAGAAGATAAGTAAAATCCTATAATATTAAAATAAGAATATCTTATATTTTTAAGTGATTAAATTGTTTTTCTTTAATGAAAACACAATCGGTGTATTTTACTTAGAGTAAAATTAATTATTAGCATTAGAATTACAAACGATAAATATAAAATAATAGGAGTAGCTTTAAATGAATATAAAAATGTATTTTTAAACATAGATATAACTGAAGAAATGATAAATTTTGATTAGATTTAGTAAATAGAATTGCTTCATGATTATAATATGGAACAAAATGTATTAGTAGTATCTTACAGTAAAAAATATTTATACTATTTAAAAATAAAACCTTTTATGTTTACTACATAATTTGATTAATGGAACCCAAAAAAAATAAAATTAAATATCCTTGAATAAGAAAGAGAAATATTTAAAAAGATGATTTATGATCATTAAGAACAAATAATATATATAGTATTATTATTTAATTTACAACTAGTTATCAGAAAGCACTTAATCAAAATTTAAAATGCATTTAGTGGATCTTAAAAATTTAGATGATAAATCAAATAAAATTGATACTATGAAATTAAGAATGCCATATTTTAAATATGGAATCTAAGCTATAGATTTTCTCATATAAAAGAATTAAATTAATAATAATGTTATCCTTTTCTTGTTGAAAAATGGAGATGTTGCCTGTATTTAGCCGTTATAGTATGGAGAAGGAGTTTTAAAGAAAACTTTCATAATAGAATTGCTAGATATTGTGTTAACTCTATCATTTATTGGATTCTTTAGGTATCTAAAGCGCTTATTATAAAAAATATATTCAAAAATAATATCTTGTTGTAGAAGAATTTGATAAAAATGATATATAATTATATATTTCAGAAATTCATTCTTGATTTTACCAGCATAAATTTGATATATGTAAAAAGTTTAATTTTTAATAAAAGTATTTTATTTAAAATTTTTGATAAATGTTAAAAGAGAAACTGCAAGAAATAAAGGATTCAAATACAAATTTATATNAGAATTGTAATTAAATTTAAAAAACAAAATTGTAACTAAATTTATTGAAGGATTGAATTATATACTGCTTGTATTATATGATTATACAACATATGATTAATAAATTGCATTATTAAGAGATAATGATTTAGAAATTATACATACATCAAAGCATTAGATTTAAAATATTGCAACAATAAATTATAATATCATATTTCATTATTAATATGATAGAGATATATATTTATATGAACGTATTTAATTTATTATTATTTAAGTGTAGTTAATTCATAGAAGATAAGTAAAATCCTATAATATTAAAATAAGAATATCTTATATTTTTAAGTGATTAAATTGTTTTTCTTTAATGAAAACACAATCGGTGTATTTTACTTAGAGTAAAATTAATTATTAGCATTAGAATTACAAACGATAAATATAAAATAATAGGAGTAGCTTTAAATGAATATAAAAATGTATTTTTAAACATAGATATAACTGAAGAAATGATAAATTTTGATTAGATTTAGTAAATAGAATTGCTTCATGATTATAATATGGAACAAAATGTATTAGTAGTATCTTACAGTAAAAAATATTTATACTATTTAAAAATAAAACCTTTTATGTTTACTACATAATTTGATTAATGGAACCCAAAAAAAATAAAATTAAATATCCTTGAATAAGAAAGAGAAATATTTAAAAAGATGATTTATGATCATTAAGAACAAATAATATATATAGTATTATTATTTAATTTACAACTAGTTATCAGAAAGCACTTAATCAAAATTTAAAATGCATTTAGTGGATCTTAAAAATTTAGATGATAAATCAAATAAAATTGATACTATGAAATTAAGAATGCCATATTTTAAATATGGAATCTAAGCTATAGATTTTCTCATATAAAAGAATTAAATTAATAATAATGTTATCCTTTTCTTGTTGAAAAATGGAGATGTTGCCTGTATTTAGCCGTTATAGTATGGAGAAGGAGTTTTAAAGAAAACTTTCATAATAGAATTGCTAGATATTGTGTTAACTCTATCATTTATTGGATTCTTTAGGTATCTAAAGCGCTTATTATAAAAAATATATTCAAAAATAATATCTTGTTGTAGAAGAATTTGATAAAAATGATATATAATTATATATTTCAGAAATTCATTCTTGATTTTACCAGCATAAATTTGATATATGTAAAAAGTTTAATTTTTAATAAAAGTATTTTATTTAAAATTTTTGATAAATGTTAAAAGAGAAACTGCAAGAAATAAAGGATTCAAATACAAATTTATATTAACATTTGAATAATGTATTGACTAAGATATTATTGGATAATCCAAAAGTATGAATATATTATGAGTTATAATTGTAGAATGCTTTTGAATTATTTGAAGATTATTCATTTTAAGTAAAATCAAATGGATTCACATTTGATAAATATAATGAATTTGATAATGCAGAGAGAACAAAAGTTACTATGGATTAAGCTATTTAATAAAAGACATTGAAACTAATCAATAAAATTAATCTTGGAACTGATGAAGAACCTTAAGAATCAACTTAAACTGGATATTTACCAAATTTAACAGAAGAATCATATTTATATGAATGGGCTGGTATTGGAATTGATGAGAATTATAAAATATTTAAAGCATTGACAGTAATTATATTAATTTAATATATTAGTTATTATCTGTTACTAAATAAGCATCTAAACTTAGATTTTGGGGTAAAATTATGGGAAGAGATAAAGATTATTATATTGCTGAAGGAGTTGCTACTAGTACTGTTGAAGATGGTGAATTACCACCTGAAGTTGAACCAAGAGGATCTGGTATTAATACTAAATCATATTGGGCATGCACTGATATTTTGAATGATAAAGATTGGGTTGAATTACCATTGGTTACACCATAATAAATCAATATATCTAGATAAATTAAATATATGTTTACAGGTAATTTAGAAAATGATGTGATTACAAATCCTTATTTCTTTGGAAAAGAAAAACATTTATTAAAAGCATAAATTGTTAGAATTACATAATCTACTGTTATTATTCCAAAAGGTTAATATATTTTAAGAGAAGGGGAACCTAGAGAAATAGATCCAGCACCTGAATATAAATTACCAGGATTTCATGATTTAAAAACATTAAATGATTGGATGCATTTTAATTAAAATATATTAAATGTATATTATTTATTATTATTATATTAGTGTGGTAGATTAGTACATTTAATACCTTCTGAATTACCTGAAGGTGTTGAACCAGAAGCTTATTAAAAATAAATAGAAGCTGCGGATCCTTTTGAAAATAGATTAAAACCTATTTCAAATGATAAAATATAAAATAATAAACCAGCTTGGAAAATTAGAATTGTTGGTGATACAACTGATTATAATCCTTTAGCCAAAGACACTAATAATAAAGTTAATAATGGTGTTATTATTATTAAATCTTTAGTTTGGCCAGGATTAGTAACTGTCTATTCTGTAATAATCTATTTTAATTTATAATAGAACAAAGTATTATCACAATTATATTATGGTTATGGATTTAAGGCAACAAATAATCATTTCTATCCTAAATAACCATAATAAGTTTAATAAGAATAACCAGATCTTCCAGAATAACCAGAACCCAATTTCCCAGCTGAAGTCCCTTAATAACAATAAGATTGATCATTATTATTATTAAATTATGGAATAAGAGGATACACTTTATTTTATATAATTTAATGTAGTCATATATTCGAATGACTTAATTAATCCTTGTTAATTGTTAATAGACTTTAAAAATTTAATGAATAATTAATATGATAGAGATGATGCCATTGCTAAATTCTCACTTATTTTAGAGTTCATATAATTATATATATATATATATAAGTAATATCAATTTATTTAATTTTCTGAATTGATTACAAATTCTAAATATATATCCTAAAATAATAATAGTAGTTATAATAATTATTGAATCAAAAAGATGTTATTTGATACTTAATTACTTTATTTTGGTTATTTAAAAGTGTAAGTTTTCTTATTAGCCAACTAACTTTTTTTCCAAATTAATATGACTTTTGTAAAATCAGCTCTGCATTAAGGACATGTAAGATTTTGTTTTGACCAATTTTTAATACTTAGAAACAAAATACATGTTGACAATTTTAAACAATTCCCTTTTTATAAGTAAAATATATTGTTACTTAATCAACTATAGAGGAATAGCAAATACTACAATTTAATTCTGGATTTTGTAAAATATTTATTACATCATCTTATTCTTTAATTTCCTACTCTCTTATATTTTTTTGGATTTTTGATGAAGTCTTTTTGGATATTAATATTCATTCATTTTTATTTATCCATATTTCTATTAATTTATTAATAAATATTTTCATTTAAAAAAATAATAATTAGATCAAGTTCTA